ATTTAAAACTAAGTCCCAAGAAATGCTTTATGTTCCAAAAAGAAGTTAAATATTTGGGGCACATCGTATCTCGTGATGGTGTTACAGCTGACCCAGAGAAGATTATAGCGATTCAAGAGTGGCCGATTCCTGAGAACAAGCACGAGATTCGAAGTTTCCTCGGTTTGTGCACCTATTATAGACGATTCGTGAAAGGATTTGCCAACATTGCCAAACCATTAATAAAGTTGACAGAAGAAGGCAATGAGTACGAATGGAGTGAAGACTGTCAAAGAGCTTTCGAACATCTCCGGCAAGCTCTTACTAGCGCACCTATCCTTGCGGCTACCCCAGAAATGAAGGAAAGTTTGTACTAGATACCGATGCCAGTAACACCGCCATTGGAGCTGTTCTCTCTCAATTGCAAGACGGACAGGAAAGAGTCATTGCCTATTTCAGCAAAGTACTGTCGAAACCCGAGAGGAATTATTGTGTGACTAGGCGAGAGCTCCTGGGTGTGGTAAAGGCATGCGAACATTTCCATAAATATCTTTACGGCCGCAAGTTCCTGATAAGGACAGATCATGCAGCGCTAAAGTGGCTCTTGCAGTTCCGAAACCCAGAAGGACAGGTGGCAAGATGGTTAGAACGTCTTCAGGAATATGACTACGACATTGAACATAGGGCTGGAAAAGTTCACAATAATGCAGACGCTTTGTCAAGAAGACCGTGCAAAGACACCTGCACACATTGTTCTAAAATAGAAGACAAGATTGGCCATCTGCGACGAACAACTGTAGAGAGTGAGGAATGGAAGCCAAGCGAAATCAAAACGGCCCAAGAAAACGACCCAAGTATAAAAACTGTTCTGAATTGGATGCGCCACGGACAAAGACCAGGCTGGCAAGACATTAGTGCCACAAGTCCTGAAGTAAAGAGTTATTGGGGCCAATGGAATAGCCTGACTCTGAAAGACAACCTGTTGTATAGGACCCTTGAAAGTGAAGATGGCACCGAATCGACGCTGCAATTAGTAGTACCTAGAAGCAAAGTGTCGGAAGTATTGCGAAAATTGCATGACGGCGCTTCCGGAGGACACTTTGGTATTACGAAAACGTTGCAAAGGGTACGTGAGCGATTCTATTGGGTCAACAGTAAAGAAGATGTCCGGCGATGGTGTCAAAAATGTGAGTTATGTGCTACTGGAAACGGACCAGTTTCCAAGAAGAAGGCACCCATGAGGCAGTATAACGTTGGTAGTCCGATGGAACGAGTTGCTATCGATATCGCAGGACCGTTTCCCGAGACAGATGGCGGAAATAAATATATCCTAGTCGCTATGGATTATTTCACAAAGTGGACTGAAGCTTACGCCATTCCAAACCAAGAGGCAGCAACAGTTGCAGAAGTGTTGGTAAAGGAGTTCTTTACACGTTTTGGTGTTCCTATAGAAATCCATTCAGACCAAGGAAGGAACTTTGAATCGGCTTTGTTCCAAGATGTTTGTCGATTGGTAGGAGCCAATAAAACCAGAACAACACCTTTGCATCCTCAGTCAGATGGAATGGTGGAGAGAATGAATCGAACGATGGGTAAATATCTTTCAAAAGTCGTGGCAGAACATCAGAAAAATTGGGACCAGTACCTCCACCTGTTCCTTATGGCATATCGATCAGCCGTCAACGAGACCACGGGTCAGACTCCTGCCTGCCTTATGTTGGGTCGTGAACTACGCCTTCCATGTGACCTCGAGTTTGGGCGTAAACCCCATGAAGAATATGTCGCAGGTGAAAATTATGTTGACCAACTAAAGGCGAAGATGAACGATATTCACGACTTGGCTAGAAGTCATATTCAGATTGCCAGCGATCGCATGAAAAATCAATACAACCTCCGCTCGGTCAATGAAACTTTTGAAGCTGGAGATCTGGTATGGCTGCACAATCCACAGAGACGAAGGGGTCTTTCTCCCAAGCTACAAAGACAATGGGAAGGTCCATATGAGGTGATCAAGAAAATAAATGACGTGATATATCGTATCAGAATGAACCACCGGAAACCGAAAGTTGTCCACATTAATCGACTCGCACGATATGCCGGATCCAACAACAACGAAGAAGTTAGAGGTATTCGAGAAGAGGAACGCAGCTTTGGGATCGAGCCAAACTTTAACGATTTTATGTCAAATTACGCCCAGCGGAAGAAAGCTCGATTTGGCGTTACTCAGGAAATTTGTCAAAATATTTTTGAGCTTCCGGTTAACGTTTCCATCGCCCATTGTATCGCCGAAGACCTTCGCATGGGTAGAGGTATAGCTTCCGTATTCCGGAAAAGATTTGGAAGAATAGACGAGTTGATAAAGCAAAGACCACGAGTGGGTAAAGTACTGCGCTTGGAAGATAGTCAACGCTCTTTGTTCTACTTGGTTTCAAAGAAAACGTCAGAAGGCAAACCCACCTATGAAAACCTCTGGTCTGCTTTAAAAAACTTAAAGAAACTCATGGCATACTATGACATAAATAGCTTGGCGATCCCGAAGATTGGATGTGGTTTAGATGGGTTGGACTGGAAGATAGTGCGAACCATGATCGAAGTGATTTTTAGAAACACTAGCGTTCGAATTACAGTATGCTGCTTCAACCCACAGGGGACGACCCTCCGCAAAACTGTGGACTGTTACTTTTTCAAGAAAGGTGTTTGTCGAGCAGGCTCTGACTGCAGATTCCGACACGAGGCATTAAAAAGTAATACTAACGCAGTTTCTGAACGAGACGTCCAGAATTAAGAAGGGGGCAGTGTAACGGAAATGCTCGACGTGACGTCGCCTTTAGCGCTCTGGAATTTTCTACGCGTATTCTAGAATATTCGGGACTTACATTGCTTGCGTGGATAAATGGTTGCGGACCGAACATCGCGGGAGTCTACTATCGAACGAGATCGAGTGCGAACGAAACATAGAGCGCGAAAAGCTGATATAAATTTCGAAGTGTGTGATATAAATGATCGATATAAATTGTACGGTTTTTATAGTTTTAGTTCTGTTTAATAAATATTGATATAAATCGAACCCGAATTTTATAAATAACGTTACAATACCTACAATTTTTATGACTTATGTTTATATTAAAATACACCTCACCGTTTTTTTCTTTACCACACCAAAAAACAAAAAAATAAAAAGCTTTTGGAACATTTCTGTATAAATGCGATTTTACCTTATATCGGTTTTTTTTAGATTTAGAGAGAACTACGAGACCTGCAGACCCCACTTTACGCTTAACTTAAAGCTAATTAAATTATCTATAACTTCTATTTCATAAGTTCTACTCGTAGGATCAATAGTTTAGCCGCAATTTTATCTAAAGAAGGTGTAAAACTCAAATGTTCACTTTTTGGAAAAAAATGACTATCTTCAAAGTGCCGTAATTCGGTAACTAATTGACCTACAGAGCTCGGGTTAGGCGCAAATTGTTATACATTTAATACTCTTCAAAAACGTATATAGTGACCTTCGTCGAAAAATGTCTAGTTAAGGAAATATAACGCAAACACTGCAAAAACTCCGAAAATTTCGCGGTTTTTCGTATACTACACTTTTTCCACAATTTTTTGAGAGTTGCAAACTTGAGTATACACTACTCTAATGGGTCCAAACAACATACTAAAAAATCAGAGATACATCATGTTTTGTTGATTTATTGTCGATTTTGACTGGCCTAAAAAGTTCAGGTACCAGAACACTTCGATACATTCGCTCAAATGACAAGGCCTTCACTTTTGCAATTATCTCGCATGTACAATTACAAAAAACAGTATTTTCTGGAGAAAGTGGTAAACGATGTTCGACAGGATAAAGTGAAGCTTTTATGGCTTCCAGTAGAGTAGCCCATTGTGAGTTCAACCCCATTGAATTGATATGGGCGTATGTCAAAAATAAAGTCGCAAAGCTAAACACAACATTCAAAATTAAAGACGTATTAGACCTCTGCAAAGCAACATTGGAAGATGTGCCAAAAAGCGTTTGGGCTAATTGTGTTCACCATGCCAAGAAAGTAGAAGATATGTACCGAGAAAAAGAGAATTTAATAGATGTCGCCATAGAACCTTTGGTAATAAATCTCAACGACGAGGATAGTGATGACGAAGTTATCGACTTTGATGAAGATGATCTCGAAGAACATAGCGATAATGATGATAATGAATGTATATGAGTTGACTGATTAATACAGAATAACAATTTCATGCTATATTACTTAACCGTGTACTTAGCGTGTGTGCCGCTTTATACGAAACGTTGCTGCAGGGTACAACTTTGCGATTAAATGACCTTCCCCCCAACTCCGCTCGAATATATTAATTCCTGCAGCCCTTAACATTTTTTTGTCATTGATTCTATTCCGTGATCATATCATTTGTAATTGTCCTTTATCGATATGAACAAAACTTTTTAAAGTGTATCTTATAATAAGCGAATAAACGCGTCTGTCATTTTATCGCTGTAACGTTTGCGTAATTATACAGAAATGCATAAAAATGTATCGACGTATAGTTAAAGGTGTATTCTATCACATACGTAAACATTATCCCATTTGAGTGAATACTTTTTTTGTAATTAAATCCTAAAGTTCTGAGTTCGTATACTTTCATTGAAAAAGCGCGCTTTCCCGTACATATTTCACTATCACATTTTCCCAAATTTAACAAGAAATATGACATTACTTACGGAAACGTAGAAATAGTTGACGATTATATTACGCTTTATTTGATAAAAATCGGTTGGGTAGTTTTTTTTTTATAACCGTTTAAAGCCAGCGGACTCTACATTTTACTCCGATAGTAGTAGGTTCTTAATTTGATACGGAGAGAGTTCAGATAGAAATTAGCTGGCGCTCAACCGTTGGTAAGTGCAACAAACGGGCAAAACGAACTACCGCTGTGACAGATCTCAAGCTTGTATTGAAACGCAGCGCCAATTTTACCAAACTTGTGTGTTGAATGAAATACGTCCGTATAATACTCAATTTATTCAACATAAAATTTTATTTTCATTTTAAAAGGCAATATAAGAAAATTAGGGAAACATTTATACAGACAGTAACAAAATCAATTTTCCTTAACCTGTTGGAACATTTCCATTTAAAAAGGCACATCCTTTTGGTCTCCTGTTTATTTAATCAGTATTCTATTTAAAAGAAAAACAATAATAAATCAACCATTACAAATAATTTAATAATATACAAAGTTCGCTAAAACGCAAGATTTTTCGTAATCAAATTATAAAACATAGCCTGAGAATTATTAAACTACGTTAATTATAAGTCCAACGTTTATCAAAGACCAAACAGTGTCTTCAATTATTTTTTCTTTTAATTTGCAACCCATATAACAAAACAATGAATAAACTACTGACTAATCATAGACCAGTTATGATATATTGACTACGAATTAAAAAACGGTGGTAATACAACCCGATCCAAAACCGTTTCGGAGATTCTATACACAAATTACCATTTTAGAAGGGGATGCATTACATCAAGTGCTTCGTGATCTTTCCCTCAAGATCGTGAAGCACCGTCCATAAAATCTATCATTTCGATTTCAAATAATTTCAACGATTTCATAACTAATAATCAATGTTGCATTGTTAGACTAACCCAACACAAAAACCTCTTATAAAAACTAGTGTAGATTGGCATTACAATATATTATTATTATTATTATTTTAATAACAAATTTGACTTTATGATACAATTTTTGGTATACAATTGTAAAATATTTTAATTAATAAATGAAGCTAGGAAGTGCACTTAATTGTAACAATAAACATCTACATGGAACTTACGGTAACCGCGACCGCTGCATTGGTAAAAATTAAGAACAACTATTAATTCCTTATCACAATCTTCATATTAACCACGATCCGGTTACCAAAAATATTGATTTATATCTTTTATATATATAAATAATCTATTACTTACGAAATACTGCGGTTTATCTCTTTTTGCCTCGTTTACTTCTCTGTCCTTTGACATTGTTGGGCTCTTTTTTCCTCATCTTCGACTTTGGAGATTCGGTACTCAAATCGGCTTCGTGATGCTTTCGCTTTAACGTCCGATTTGGCAGGGTTTTGAAAGGGAACAGCGGGTCCATATCGATTTCTTCGCGACGTCGAATCCTCTCGCTTCTACGGACCGGCTCGGTATATACCTTTTTGTGTTTACCCTTCTTTTTAGTTTGCGGCATCGTCGTTTTGTCTTCGGTAACAGAGGCGTCGGGTGATATGGGAGGCGTACTGGGATCAGTGTCCATAGCACTAAGGTACTCTTGAACGCGCGACTCTTTCTGGTCATTCTCGACAACATCTCGACTCGAGCTACTGTCGGAACTCCTAACCTCAATTGTTTCGATTGTCTTTTTCAAATTTGTACACATTTTGGTTTTGGGCAGAGTTGGTGTACCTGAATTGCACTTGAGCGAACCTTCACTTGTGAAACTACACGAGGAATTGCTCATGTTGTCCGAGGAACTTTTCTTCAGTCGTCGCCTTTGCGCCAGTTTCGCGTTGAGCACGTCCTGCAGTCGAAAACCTTCTCGTTCCGCCTTGTGGAACGCGTTAAAGGTCGCCTGCAGGCCCTTTTCGGTTGACCCGCTCGACGACAACACGTCGGGGGTCATCAGCGGCGTCTGCGGGAATACCTGCGAGCCCTGCACCCACGGATGGTTGCGCAAGTCCACCATTCGTAACCTTTGCTGCGGGTCGACGGTTAAAAGTCCCTGCACGATGTTTTTCGCATCGTCACTTACATCGCACCAAGCGGGCGAGGAAAAACTAAAGTCGCCGTTTTTAATTTTAGCCATGACCACCACGGCGCTATTGTCGCGCGAACTCGAATGAAACGGGGCCCTCCCGCACATCATGGTATACAAAATAACGCCGAGACTCCACAAGTCACAATTCTCGTCGTATCCCTGCGGATCACCGTTTAAAACTTCGGGCGCGGCGTAATGCAACGTAAAGCAGGGGGTGTGCAAAACTTCCTTCTCCTGCTTTAACCGCGCGAATCCGAAGTCGACGACTTTAATTTCCGCGTCCTCTTCGTCGGTCGTAAACAATAAATTTTCAGGCTTCAAATCTCTATGTACAACTCCCCTAGAATGCATAAAACTCACAGCCGATACAAGCTTCCTCATTATCACGGAAGCTTCACCTTCGGTAAACTTTGACTTTGACCTAATCCTATCTAACAACTCTCCCCCTTTCAACAATTCGCATACGAGATATGTGTGCCCCTCGTCGATAATCACCTCGTGCAAGCTGACAATGTTAGGATGTCCCTGGCACGCCCTCAACAAATTTATCTCCTGCGTACAGTCCATCCGTCTGCTCACTATTTTCACCGCAAACTCCCTGCCGGTGCTCTTCTGCACGCAACGTCTGCAAACGGAAAACGAACCGTCTCCCAAGATTTTCTCCTCGAGATCGATGTCGTACGATTGGAAAAACGGCGAATCGGCGAGCTTACACTCGGCCAATTTCGCCGCGTCGCCCTGTCGACTGACCGGCCTGAGTAGATCGTCCGAAATGACGTTCTTCGTAAATATCACCGACGGCGATATGTACGAGTAGCCTTTGAAGATTTTATCGTAGTTCGGCGGCACCACGGCGGGCGAGTCCGTCGGTACCATTTGAGTGAACTCTTCGCTAAAGTTCGATACGTCCAATTCATTTCTGCGTACAGTGCGTGTCAGAATTAAAGAGCGTTTGTTTCATCTGACTTACCGTATCAATGGTTTAAACGGGGCAGAAATCCTCTTCGAAGCCAGAGCTTTCCAATCCAAAGTTTTGAAGAACGGATGCCGTTTCAATTCGGTCGCGTCACCTTCGCCGCCACCGAGACGCTTTCGCGGTTCCTTAACTAATAATCTACTAATAAAATCGGCAACGTCCTTTCCTAACGCTGAAAATCAGAGGGAGTTCAATGTTGATCGCTATTGGAAGAGTTATAAATACCTTCCGGAATGGGAGGTGTCGTTTTCAAGATTCGCCTTGAAATCTCCTGTTGGGTATTTCTCTCCCCTTCCACTGTGAACGGAGAAGCTCCAGTTAAAAGTTCGTAGGTGAGAACTCCGACGGACCACCAATCCACCGCCTTGAAAAAAAAATAATTGATAGTAAAGGACACGCACTAGATTCGAAAACTCTGCTTCTTCCTTCTCCAGTCAATAAGCAGAATTTCTCAACAGCTTGTAACAGGTGGTCGCTTTACGGTTGAATTTGTATTTTGTTAAACAGGAAAATTTATACATATACCGCTTCATAGCGAACATGAACAAAAATATGTCTGGCGATAACAAGAGGCGTATTGGGGAAAACCAGCATCCATTGTTGGTTTTCTAGAAATTGCACTAAATCATTGGTCGAGTCTTAAGTCTGAGTGTCAAGCTTAGGTTCTTCATGCCCTTTTGGCCATCGGGTGGGCGTGCGGTGTGTCCCGCCTACGCCCATTTATCATAAGAACAAGAGAGACAATAAATAAATAAGATGCTTTGGTGTATTGGTTCGCGGATGGGTTTATAACCCAACTTAGCATACTCAAATTTAAATATACGTAAAAACGCTCCTTAAAATCAACATGGAAAACGTCCAAACATTGCCAATATATAGTCTCATTTTGCCAGAACGGCAGATAGGATGGAAAAATGAATCAGGTTTAAAAGTTAGTGTAAAATACCAAACAATTCAGGAAATACAGTGCTACTCAAAACTATAAAAATATACAGGATGTCCCATTAATTAATTAATTTGTAAGGTAAATACCGGAGTAGTATAGAACAACTTAAGATCTTCTGCAGAGGCACATCTAAAAAACATTATGCGGGTCACTGTAATTGGGCGCAAGCATGTTGAGAGCACAAAACAATAGAGGGATAATAAATAAATAATAAATAAGATATTAAAAACGTATTTTGTTTGGCACTCCCTGTATATTGAATTCAATCAGTTAGGTACTACATTCTTGTCCGTACAGATAAAATACTAAAACTTTTTTTATGTTCCCAAAATTAATGAAATTAAGTGGGGATCAAAATTTTGGACATTTGGGAATTTATAATTTCGGAATTTTTGAGATGTTGGTAATTTGGAGCTCTAGACATTTTAAATTTTGGCAGAATTTTTTTTATAAAATTCGAAACTTTGGGAATGGAGGAATTTGAGATTTTGAAATATTGGGAATTTGAAATTACGGAACTTTTAAAATTTTGGGATTTTGAACTTTTTGAGAATGAGTTTTTGAAATCTTGCAAAGTTCAGTTTTTTTACTTTTGAAAATTAAGATTTTGGGTCTTTGTTAAACTTTTCAAATTTTAAACATTTAGGTAACATTTTGGGAGTTTTAAAATTTTGGAAATCTAAAAGTCTGGAACTTAAAGAGATTGTGTAGATTGCGACCATCCAATTTGAGATTTTGGGAAATTTCGATATTGAAATTTTATGAAGGAGATATTGGGATTTAGTAATTTTAAATAATGGAATTTTTGGAAATTTGCAGTTTGCGAATTTGAAATTTTGAGACTACAGACACTTTAAATATTAGGGGATTTAAAATTTTGGAAACTTTAAGATTCTGGAACTTAGAAGTTCTGGGAATTTGAGACTATAGAAATTGAGATAATTTCGAAATGTTAGAAATTTGAGATTATAAACATTTCAAATTTTGGGATTTATCATTTATCACGACAAGCCTCAGGGGTTAACGTTTTGTAAAGGAACACACCATCAATAACCAATTGAATGACACTTTATTACAGTACCACAAGAGTCATCCCCGAGGTTAATGTTTTGCGAGGAAGTACACCATCGGGATATGGGGGGGGGGGGGGGGGAAAGGGGGGTATAGTATAGAACCTGCCGATTTTGTTAAATTGGGAACCATATCAATTTAAGATTTTGGAAATTTGCTATAGAACATTTTAAGGATTTCAGAATTTGATTTCTTAAAGTTTTGAAATTGTGAGATTTTTGAAATTTCAGATATTCCAATTTTAGGAAGGGGATATGTATTGGAATTTTGAAATTTTAAATTATGGGATTTTGAAATTTTGCGAATTTGAGTAGGAAGTTTCAGACTTTGGTAATTTGTTTGATGGTAAAAATGAATGTTTGAAAATGAAAAAAATATATCAAAATTGCCCGCAACTGTCAAACGAAAATCTAGTAATACGAGATATTTTGAAATTTTAGGAATTTGAGATTATACATTTTTTGGGGTTTGAACATTTAGCTTATTTAACAATAATTAACTTTTTAATGAGTTGCGAATTAAGTACATTTTTTGTTTGATGGTTGGATGTTGGGATTTTTGGACATTTTGTGAGAATTTTTTGTAGAATTTGAAATTTTGGGAATTCAAGAATTTGGGATTTTGAAATTTTGAAATCACAAAAATTTACGATTTAAGAATAATTTACTTTTTTTAATGAGTTGCGTGCGTTTAAGGTGCCTGAATTAATTTAAGTAAGTTTTTTGTTTAATGGTAAGATGTTGGGGTTTTTGGACATTTTGGGCGAATTTTTTGTGGAATTTGAAATTTTAGCAATTTGAAATTATAGAAATTTAAGATTTTTAAAATTTTAAGATTTTAGACTTAAAGAATTTGAGTCTTTAAAATCTTGCAAACTTCTGATTGAATGTTGGGTATTTTGTTAAAACTTTAGGAGTACGAGATTTTGAAACTAGACATTTAACATTTAAGGAGTTTTAAAATTTTGGAAGTCTGGAACTGGGAGATTTTGTTAAATTGAGACCACATAAATTTGAGATTTTAGGAATTTGATATTTTTAAGGATGAGTATAAGATTTTGAGAATACACATGCAAATATTGGGAGTTTTAAAATTTTGGAAGCCGTAAGATTCTGGAAGGTTAGTCATTTGAGACTATAGAAATTTGATATTGATTGGGTATTTTGAAATTTTAGAAATTGAGATTATAAACACGTGGGGAAAAGAATTATCACACGAGTCTTCAGGGGTGAGTATGTGAGTATTACTGCCCCTTAATAGTTCCCCTATACATTTCGAGAATGGACAATTGAATCTGACAGTAGAGAGACACGTGGGGGTAATGATACTTTTTTAAAATACAACAAGAAGTCTTCAGGAAGATTTAATGACACTTTAAGTACCACAAACACCTTCGGGGGTTAAAGTTTTACGAGAGAGCACACCACCGGGGGAGTATGCGCAATACAGTTTCGTAATATTTGAGGGGGGGGGGGGACGTAATTCTGGGGGACTCACTGGGGGTATTCCTAGACCTCCCCGGTTTGATGGTAAAAATGAATGTTTGAAAATGAAATGAATCATCATGAAATATATCAGAACTGCATGAAAATGCCAAACAAAAGTCTAGTAATACGAAATTGGTTTGATTTTGGAAGATTTTTTTAATGGAATTCGAAATTTTGGGAATTTAAGAATTTGGGATTTTGACATTTTGAGAATTTGATTTTTGAAATCTTGCAAACTTGAGAGATTTTATTAAATTGAGACCATATAAATTTGAGATTTTGGGAATTTGATATTTTTAGGGATTTTAGATTTTGATTTTTTTAAATTGTGGGAGTTTTGAGATTTTTGAAATTTCGAATTCGCCTTGGCCCACTACCCTTCACTGTGTGTTTCTGCTTTTTTGTTTGATAGTGGGATGTTGGGATTTTTAGACATTTGTAATTTTTTATTTAGTTTTGAGATTTTAGAAATTCGGGGTTATAGACATTTTTTTATGAAATTCGAATGTTGGGAATTTAACAATTCGCGATTTTGAAATTTTTGCATATTTGACATAACGGAAATTTTGGGAATTTTGAAATTTCAGGAATTATCAAAATTTCAGATGTTCAAATTTTACATTATGAAATGTTTGCAAATTGTGATTCTGGGATTTTAAAATTTTGCAAATCTGAGTGGGAAGTTTCTCATTTTGGTAATTTGCGATTTTGAAACTTTTGATATTTCGGGAATATGAGATTTTGAGAATACAGCCATTTTAAATGTAAGTAATTTGAGACTATAGCAATTGAAGATTATATTTTGGGAAGTATCATGAGAGGTCCTCAGGGGTTAACGTTTTGCGAAAGAGCATATCACCGTGGGGTCGGGGGTGAAAATGAATGTTTGAAAATGGAAAAAATATATCAGAATAGCATAAAACTACCAAACAAAAATCTAGTCATGCGAAATGATATTTGGTACTTTTACGAATTTGGGATTATAAATATTTCAAATTTAAGGATTTGTTTGATGATTGAAAATGACACAGAAATATCTGTTTGGGCGATCTTTGTATATTTAGGAATTTATGATTTTGGGAATTTTTTTAATGGAATTCGAATTGGGAATTTAAGAATTTGGGATTTTGAAGTTTTGAGAATTTGAGTTTTTGAAATCTTGCAAACTTAAGAGATTTTATGAAATTGAGACCATATAAATTTAAGATTTTGGGAATTTGATACTTTTAGGAATTTTAGATTTTGATTTTTTTAAATTGTGGGAGTTTTGAGCTTTTTGATATTTCGAGATTTAAAAAAATATGGAAATTTAAATCTTAGGAAGGAGATATTGAAATTTTCAAATTTTAAATTAATGAGATTTTTGGAAATTTGTAGTTATCGGATTTTAAAATTTGACGAATTGAATTGAGTGAGAAGTTTCATATTTTGGTAATTTGTAATTTAAGATTTTTGAAATTTAAGAGGATTTGGGAATACAGACATTTTAAATATTGAGAGCTTTTGGAGGCCGAAGATTCTGGGACTTGGAAAGTTTGGTAATTTGGGACTAATTATAGAACTTTGAGATATTAGTAATATGAGATATTTTTGAAATTTTAAGAACTTGAAGTTATAAACATTATTTAAAACTTTGGGATTTGTTTGATGGTAAAAATCAATGTCTGAAAATGCAATGCAAAAAAAATATCAGCAGCAAGTCATAAATCAGTCGGAAGAGACAAGCAGAGTTTCCCAATGAACCTGCCACCTGACCAGCGACAGGCTAAACGATTAGGCTTTATCAAGGTCTTGCTTGAACCATCAACCAGCTCTCAGTTTAGATGAATCTTCGAACGCTTACGCTCTTAGAGCACATGA